ATGAGTTTCCAACACATATCAACTCGCAGGTGTCGACACCAACTTTAATTAAATGTTCCAAATCACCAAATAAAATTAGAGTTTTGTTGACAACAAGACCATGTCCAATAGAAACAAAGGAAATATTAGAGTGACTCATTTTAAATACAGTTGTTTGTGTTGTTAATTGTTGTTTCGTTTTTTTCTCAATAAATTTTGACGCAAGCACAATACCATTAACTAAGAATATTGTTACAAAGATAATAAATAAAACGATAATCAAAATGACCCACCAAATAATCGCCTCTTGACAATACATTCCATTTTTACTTGGAGTGTACCAAAACACACATTTTTCACATTTTGAGTTTTCAATTCTGACGCAATTTGATACTTCTGACACGTTTTTACAAATGTTGTTTTCATTTAACAAATGATTAGCATAACATGAAGTACACACTTTTTCTATAGAACACGTAAAACAATTTGAATTACACTTTTTACACTCATTTCCATTTATTCGGTAATACCCATTTTTACACTTCGCACACCCATTTTGAGTCACTTTCTCTTCGCATAGTTCTTCAAGTTGACTGAAAGGTTGACAATCACCATTTATAGTCATGTAAAACGACTCTGCACATGTGTAACAAGTCTCTTTGTCTTGACAAGTCGCACATTTTGAGGAACATTTAAAACACTCAAAGCCACTCCTATAATATTTATCTGCACAAATTACACATCCCCCAGTAATGGAAAGTTTGTCACAAATACCAACCAAATTGTCATTTGATTTACACGTCCCATCTGAAAGATAAGTCTCGTTGTAACATGAAAGACATGTTGTTGCTGTAGATAAACAAGTCTTACATTCCGGAGAACACTTCAAACAACTCCTTGTATTAGAGTCAAAATAGTAATTGTCTATGCAACGAAGACAATCAAAAGAACTCGATACTTCACATTATTTATTTGAGTTTTGTTGACATTTATTATTGGATAACAAATAGTCCTTTGCACATTCTACACATTTCCCATTTGTTGTATATAAACATTTTTCAATCACATTTGCACAGTGTCCATTTTCATCATTACCAAAATCACATTTTTCATTGATTGTACAAGACCATGTTGTAAGGTCTGTATATGTAATTGAATAATTTGACACGCATTTTGTAAGTACATTTGACATACAATAGAATGTACTTTTTAGAGGCATAATCACATCAATACATGATTCACATGTATATTGACTGACTCTAAAACCTTGTATACAAGAAGTGATGGATGTTACAGAATTGGCATCAGAATTGGGATCAACTTGTTGACATACACCTTCTTTTAAAATTAATTTTTGTTTGATGTTACATATATTACAAGTACCATCTCTGTTATATAAATAACAATCGCCCACTGGAACACAATTTGGATATTTGAAAATATAATTTTCTTTGCATTTGATACACAAATTGAATTTTTGATACAAACAATTTTCAATTTTCGCACACATTCCATTGACAACTGAATAATCTTGTGGACATCTGAGGCATTCAGTCGCGCCGTAAGAACAATTCAAACAATTTTGATCATAACATTTTATTGTCTGACTTTCACCACATGTCTGTGTATTTGTGTCAAAAGTCCCACTTTCACATTTCATACCAAAAACCATTTTAAAAACGCCATTTTGACTTATACCAGCAGAGTAAATCACTTCGTTGAGTGTAAGACTATCTTTTGATATGAAAAGAACCGTTTTAGAAAGGGAATTAATTGTTAATTGTATTGGAGTATTTTGTGGTGGAATGCTCACAATAAAAGGTTTCACTATTTTCACAAATGACATTTGAATATTTTGAATACCAACACTTTCTGTCTCGACATCTTCGTTTGCCGTTTTAATTGATTTTAAAAATTTGGTGTTTCTAAATTCTGGTTGGATTTCACTTTTAATTGTCTCATAAATAATTATAGA